GAAATACCACTTACTCGAACCGTCCTGACCGCGTAGCTCAGTTGGAAGAGCATTGGGCTAGTATTCCAAAGGTCGTAGGTTCGAATCCCACCGTGGCCTTGCATATTTTTCAAGCTCGCCCGGTGTGGATATACACTCAGAGTAACACCACAAATAGAGAATAATACACTCAGAGTACACTACACCAACAGAGAAAAAATTGTTATTAGTATTTACATATTAACTATATTTACATGTATTCTGTTGGAAAGGTGCCTTGCATGGATAGCGCAAATTATGTACGTTCCGTTCGCACCTCTTCCATTTGGGTAAAATTCGTTCTTCGCATGCATAGTATTAGTACGTCTTTTGTAAATAATTATTATATTTACCCAATAAAGTATTTAAAAAAAAAAATAAAAAAATAAAAAAATAAAGCAATAGAAGAAGGGAAGTTCACTGTTGGTATCTTCCTTGATTTGTCAAAAGCGTTTGACACAATTAATCACAAGATTCTGATAAGAAAATTGGAACATTATGGTATACGAGGAACAGCAAAAAAATGGTTTGAAAATTATCTATATCATAGAAAGCAATATGTAAAATATAACGGAGTACAATCTGAAGAAATGACTATCACAAGCGGTGTGCCACAAGGATCAGTTTTAGGTCCTGTATTATTTCTCTTATACATAAATGATATTCAATATTGCAGTAAATTGGTTTCAGTTATATTATTTGCCGATGACACTAACATACTGTATAGCGATGTTTGTCTCAAAACTTTAAACGAAACTATTCAAGTTGAAATGAACAAAATTACAGATTGGTTGAATGTTAATAAATTATCTATAAACACTGCGAAAACAAAGCTGATCCTTTTCAGATAAAAAAATAAGAAACCTAAATGTGATTTAAGAATTACTATAAATAGCGAAACTATAAAACAAGTAAAAAAAAACTACGTTTTTAGGGATTGTTATAGATGAATTTTTATCATGGTGCGATCATATAGATCTTATTTCAAAAAAAATTATCAAATGTACAGCTATTATATCCAGAATACGACATTTTACAAACCTAAATTCCTTAAAACTGATCTATTACGCATTGGTCTATCCATATCTTATATACTGTAATTTAGTTTGGGGTAACGCTTACAAATCACACATTCAAAAATTAGTAAATATCCAGAAAAAGATAGTAAGATTAATGACCTTCAAATCCTATTTTGACCATACTGAACCAATTTTTAATGACCTTAAAATACTAAACTTGTATAAATTGAATGACTTCTTAACAAGTCTATTTATGTTCCGATATTTTCATCTACAAAATCTTCCAGAAATTTTTGATAAATATTTTTTAACTAACAAAAAAATCCATAATTACAACACATGCGAGAAACGCATCATTGCTTCACAAAAATTGTACTAGAACAAATTATAAAAAACACACGCTCGGTAATAACGGCATCGATGTGTGGAATAATCTTCCGACGCAATATAAGCAAATTAGATCTCTTCCAATATTTAAATCTACAATGAAAATATATTTCCTTCTGTCAAATTTAAATAAGTAGAATTCTTGACACAAAGTGAAAAGCCAAATAATTGTTATAGTCTGATATATCTTTTACGCACTTTCCTTATTGTAAATATATCACCGTAATTCCTTTGAAAACAATTGGACTGGTATTAACTTTTAATATTATATTATTTGAATTGTAACTAGGGACCTTAAACAAAAGCCTTATGGTTTCTAGAAGGTTCCTAGCCCTACTATTGTAAATATTTTCTATTTAAATTGTTAATTTTATAAACTGATTTGGGCGAATATATTAAATAAAAAAAATTAAATAAATTAAATAAATCTTGCGTAAATACTGGCATCTTATTGACCAAGACCCATCACTAAAGCTTTTATGGCCCGAACCCCCTTAATTTGGTTTCCTACAAACGCAACCATAACATTAAGGATCGCATAGTGCATTCCATGCTCTCAAATAATTAACACTAACAAAATTAACCGCACGTTACCGCAAAACTAACACCACATCTGACAGCGGGTTCGATATGATGAGATACGTTTGTTGGAGTTCCGTCATTGGTCGTGGCAATTCTGGATATTTTGGCTATGTTTTTACAACAGAAACCTCACGTTTTGAACAATAATTGTATAACACTTTCAATAGCATTTGTCAATGACCAGAGAAAGGACATGTTGCGTACTCACTAAAAAGATTTAATCGTCCTGATTGGCACTTGAAAAGGATTAACATTGACGTCCACAGCCAATTATTATCAGAACAATCCTCGGCATTTACTGTGGCATTTCCTACTATAACACCTTCATGAAACCACTCGAATAGACTCAGGAATCATGCAAGTTGGTCTACCTCACCATACGCCTACAGTTGACAATAAAGATATAGTCTGATGTCCTTGGACATACCTAATATATGTTTAGACGGTCAATAGCAAAAGTTTTAATAATTCCTTTACCCAGTTCTGGGTCCTTTATACTTGTCAAACAAAGTATTGCATGCTGATTAGAGCGTTTTACGAGGTTTTTTCAGTAATTGTCAGCGCATGACATTCCATGATATTTTTATTCCCAATGTGGTTCATACATTATCTTTGTTACTTGTTTTAGTCCAAAAAGCTTTCTTAATGTTCTATATACTAAAATAACAATATACAGATATTAACTCTTATCCTCTGCGTGGAAAGATCAACGCCAGAACTGTTGTGAACTAACAATGGCCATATCGTATTATTCATTTACCATCTTTGTTTTGGGTTTTGTTGTATATTTAGTACATAAATCAGTTATTGTTTAATCATATTTTTGTTTAATCATATATAATTTTTATATAATATCAAATCCTGCACGTTTTATCAATAGTTTTCCTCGCAATTCAATAATTGCCTCACGCCCCTACCCCTATCCCTATCAAGCCACTGGCACCATATTTGGATGCAATCACCTACAGTCACATGATCATGCTACTGAATAAATCCTACTCCACCCCTTCCATCATAAGCATTCAAACTCACTATACCGTTGAGTCAGCTTTACCCTAAAGGACTAGTAAATTGCTTCGCTCCAAAAATATAGTTAAAAGATGAACAATAAAGTACATAATGTTGGAATGTCCCGCAACAACAAGACCTTTGGTAGGATAATTTTACTAATAACATAAGTAGTAATATAGGTACCGTTCGACCCGGATTTTTGTGGTGGTGTGTGGTGGTGGTTGTGGTGGCGTGTGGTTGTGGTGGTGGTTGTGGTGGTGTGTGGTAGTGGCGTGTGGTTGTGGTGGTGGTTGTGGTGGTGTGTGGTGGTGGCGTGTGGTTGTGGTGGTGTGTGGTGGTGGGTGTCCACCACCTCATTTATAATTAATACTCGTACAGATGAGGGTGCGTAGTGACGTCGCTCATTAACATACGTCATAATTATATGCAATGACGTCACGCGGGCGAGCTTGAACACGATCGGGCGAAACTTGCTGACTAAGCATTTTTTAGCGTCTCTTCACGTGTATGATACAAAAGAGGGATTAATCTTGGCCTACTATGATTGGTTGTTTGATTTAATGAGCGTTTGTGTATAAAATCGACAAGCGTCTTGTAACAAGCATAGTTCTGTATTTGACAACGCTCTTACTGGAGGTCTTTTGGGTAGCTGATTTTGTTAAATATTTCTTCGGAGAGGAGTACTTGGAAGAGAATGGCACAGCAGCATCGAGAGAATAATGGGTAAGTTTAATTTAAACTGAAAATTAATATAATATCCAGAGTTTTATGTATGTAATCGACTTCTATATTTTGTAGGAGAAATCAATTCATAGCAGAGTTGGAAAATTATAAGGTCAATCACCAGCTTTGTGCCGTGGACACATTTTCTTGGTCACCCGAAACTCAAGAGGAAATTCTAGCGGAATGGAATGATTGGCAACTCGATGAACCAGCTTCGACAGAACCAAGGTTGTGTTGTAATGATTGTGGTCGCGTATTTACGCGTTCGAACGAACTGAACCGGCATATGAAAACTCACAGTGACAAAAACCACGAGTGCTCGCGTTGTCATAAAACGTTTAATCGAAAGGTACGTAATTTACAGGGGTATATTTCAAAACATAATAAAACACTTTGAGTTAATATTATTTGTATGATTTCAAGGATGCTTTGAACCGGCATATGAAAACTCACAGTGACAAAAACCACAAGTGCTCGCATTGCCACAAAACGTTTAATCGGAAGGTACGCAATTTACAGGAATATATTTCAAAACGTAGTAAAGTGTTTTAAGCTAATAATATCTATTTATATGATTTCAAGGATGCTTGGAACCGATATATGAAAACTCACAGTGACAAAAACCACGAGTGTTCGCGTTGTCACAAAACATTTAATCGGAAGGTACGTAATTTACAGGAATATATTTCAGAACGTATTTTGAGCTAATAATATCTACTTATATTATTTCGAGGATGCTTTGAACCGCCATATGAAAATGCACGAACAACGAGGAGCCCAGAGGGAATATACTTGTAATGTATGTGGTGAAGTATTCCGCAATATATTTCCATTCCAAGCCCATCAGCGCGATGTCCATCAAGTTGGTCGTGGGAAACGTACGAAGACGCCGACCGGGCGAACAAAAAGGCAAAGAACTGATGAACCAGGTACGTATAAATGAAAACGTTTTGATTACTAACTTTGTATTTATACAGATATTTTTTTCTTTTTAGAACCGCCAAGACCTTCGACATCGGTGAACGAAGGTAAGAGAGTATATATGCTGCGTAATAATTTGCGTTAAAATCGCACTAATACATTTTTTTCCCTTTCAGGTGCTTCCACGTCTACAGTCGTCAGCGAAGGTATGAAATTGATATTTTTATACCGTATGTAGTATATTGATTGTGGTGATTTGATGTGTATATTGACAATGTTAATTACTCGCAACCTCGGTTTTAAAACATTGCCTGAAATCCTAACGTTTACATTTGAAAAATATTTTCATGCTGTTTTCATGTTTTTTCACTGATGTTTGTGTTTTGAAAACCTGATAAAAATAATCGAGTAATTTTTATAGTGTGGGTTTATAGTGTGGAATGTTCCTAATTATTCCTGTTAGACTTATGTTCATTTGTTTTAGAACTATTAATTTATGTCATTGTACGAGTATTTACGCTACATTATTTTTGTAACATTCGCTAGCGTTTTATAGTGAGGTAAAAGTAATTTTCATAGGTTGATCATGTTGCTATGTGAAATTTGCATGTTCTTAATTTATTCATGTTAGACTTATGTCGATTTTTTATGAATCGGGTGTTTGTATGACAAAATTAGTGCGGAGCTCTAGACAAAAATAAAGAATCGGGTGTTATTTCTACAGGACCCCAACCGTTCCCTCAAGATCCACAATTACCACCATGCAACCTCCCTTCCCAACTCCACCGAGACCATTGGCGTGCTATACGTACGCGGCAAAGTCGAGGCAACCGAGTGCAAGATTGGTACAACTATCGTTTGAGCTCAGTGAATATAGGTCAACTTGTCAACAGCATATAGCACATATTTGAAGATCAAACCATTGTCTTTAAGTTAAATCTCTCCTTTGGTTTCGTATTATTTAACAACGAGACACAACAGATGCAATATCACCACCCCTCAGCAAACAACAACCGTGTCTTCGACTCCCCGTTCCAGATCCATAATCGTGCAGATTTAGCCCAAGTTCGCGAAACGATACAAAACATCGACATTCATGAATGGGCTCGACAACAACGACCCAACTCGAAATGGATTGTCATGGATATTACCAACGTTACCTTCTACGTCACCAAACTTTGAGACCATCCCATAGGCCGCAGTGTCCGCCTATACCCAAATACGTACTGGAGAGCCGTGCCATCGTGTCGTTGGATTGTGATGGTAATACAGGCTTACCGTACGAATACAAACTTGGTTTCTTCCGTTGTTTGGCCCTACGCCGTGGTTGTCATCCCCATAACCTAGAACGTGATACTCAACATTTTTATGAACAATATTCGGGAGATGATGATTTTGATGGTGTTACCCTAGAGGAATTACCTGAACTGGAAAAGTTGTTCGAGTTGAACATTTACGTCTATCGTCTTACAGAGCTACATGACGAAGATGACGACACGACCTCCATTGCGGCTCAACTCATACAGCGATCCCACCGTAGATATACCAACACTATGTTCCTGAATCTCTGCGGTAGTCACTTCAGCTATATTAAGAACTTGTCGATGTATTCCAAGTCCTACTGTTGTTCCAAGTGTGACAAAATGTGGAAGACAGCGAGAGCCTTAAACCGACACGAGCGAACATGCGAAAAACGATAAGTCATGTTTTCCCTGGTGGTGCCTACAAAGTTCCACAAACCATCTTCGATTTGTTGGCCGACGAGGGAATCGAGATCCCTGAAGACCTCAAGTACTTCTCTTATCGTGCCACCTTTGACTTTGAGTGTTATTTCAAACGTGAAACCGAACATCCACGAAATACAGCAAAGTTAACGTGGGAAGCCGAACATATCCCATTGAGTGTCTCTGTATGTTCGAACGTCCCTGGTTATGATCAACCCAAATGCTTCGTCTCGTCTGGCAGTACAAGTGAAATGATCCAACAGTTCGTGGAATATTTGGTTGAGGTCAGCCAAGAAAGCTATGGATTGTTGCTGGACCAATTCTCTGACGTTTTTCGTCAAATTGATGAACGGGTCAATGAGGTATAATTCACACGTATTAGATTCTTAGTATATTTCTTATCCTTAATATTTTTTCTTATATCTTTAGGTGGGGGAAAACGAGGTTATGGAAGTTGCCGCGGGGGAGAATAATGAGGTAAATTATAGGAAGGTTATATTTGCACTTATATTCTTTATATTCTAATGTATCTTATAGTTTAGCGAAATACAGAGGAACAGCTGATTGAGGATATGGTGGGATGTTTGATGGGGCTGAATAGTGAGGTATATAACATAAGGTTTGAGCTCAACAGTGATCTTTCCTTTGCTTACCATATGTGTACCTTTTAGGTGAGTGAAGATGAAGACAAAGTGAATAAAGATAAAGTCGTTGAAGAGAGAGTAAGTATCACACTCATGATCCATTTTAGCGGTTGTTATGTAGATTAGTAGGGATGTGTAAGTATCTTGCTTTTTACTTATGACACCTTTACATTTATTTAGGACGTGGTCCATCCTCCGCTCAAATTTCAAGATAAATTGTCTGAATACTTACAAGAGCTACCAATTCTTGGGTTCAACTCTGGTAAATATGATATTAACGCTGCGAAAAACCCCTTCTTTTCACATCTCGTCAAACACGAACAAGTTAAGTTTGTGATAAAGAGGAACAATAACCACATGTGTCTTAAGACTCAGCACTTAAAATTCCTCGATATCACAAACTATCTGGCTCCGGGATTTAGTTACGAACAGTTCCTCAAAGCGTACGAGTGCTCCCAGACCAAAGGCTACTTCCCGTACGAGTGGGTCGACTCCCTTGACAAACTCAATCATTGCTCCTTACCACCACGCAAAACCTTCCATTCCACTCTATCCGGAACCGACATCACCGAGGAACAGTATGAGTATTGCCAGGGCGTATGGGACGAAAATAATATGACAACTTTCCGCGACTTTCTCGTGTGGTATAACAACCTTGACGTAGTCCCCTTCCTTGAAGCAATTGATAAAATGAGTACTTTCTGGCAAGAAAGGAACATTGATATGTTTAAGGACGGTGTGAGTGTGCCTGGCTTGACTATGAAATATTTATTTTCAAACATTCCAGGCACCTACTTCTCCTTGTTCAGCGAGAAGGACAAGGATATATATTATTCAATGAAGGATAATAACGTAGGGGGCCCCAGCATTATCTTTAACAGATACCACGAGAAGGAGAAATCATCCATACGGAAAGAAGAAATGCGAGCCAGAGGAAAAGAATCGAAACCCTGCAAGAATGTAGTTGGTTACGATGCCAATGCGCTCTACTTGTGGGCCATCATGCAAGACATGCCAACGGGGCAGTACACAAGACGGTTAGAGGAGGACGGGTTTAAGAAACAGTGGAGTGGAAAAATGGCGATCGAATGGTTAGAATGGCAAGCGTACAGTCGCGGCATTAGTATCAGACACGAGTACAACAACACGGAGAAAAGAATTGGCACTTGTCGTCTCCCTGTTCACGGTTTTCACGCTGAATCACAAACGGTGTTTCAGTTTCATGGTAAGTTGTTGTTTTAGTGTAATTAGTTAAGATTAATTAGCTAGGATTAAGTTAATTGTGTGGGAGTGAGCTAATGAGTTTTTAGCGATTGCGTGGGCCTGTAGGATAACTTTATTTTTCTTTTGTAGGTTTAACTGTATTACACTTTATTTTAATAGGATGTTATTGGCATGGGCACAACTGTCATCTGAACGAAGGGAAAGAAGTCAACGAGAAGCGTGATAAGCCGATGAAGAAACTCCTTGAAGAGACCCAAAGAAACAGCGCCTATATCAAGAAGCAGGAATTCAATCTCGTTGAATGTTGGGAATGTGAGCTAGTGGCGAGAGATGAAGAAACGAAACACCGCGCTGCAACGACTCATTGCCACACAACTTCGCCGACCCCTAGACAAAGTAAAACGATGACAACTCGATCAATTGTCAACGCTGTGAAGAATGATACGTTATTTGGCTGTGTCGAGTGTGGTATCCACGTACCTGAGAGTTTGCGAGAATACTTCAAAGAGATGTGTCCAATATTTAAAAACGCAGAAATACGTCGAGAGGATATTGGTGAGTTCATGAAGAGCTATGCCGAAGAAAACAACATCATGCCCCGACCCCGGCGGAGTCTCATTGGAAGTATGATCGGAAAGAAGATAATGTTGGCAACTCCTCTTCTAAAATGGTATTTAGAACATGGTTTAGAGGTACGTTTTAAATATTAAAAACTTGTAAAATTGCAGGAGAAATTTTTTTAACAAATTGTATTATCGTTTTAGGTAACACACGTCTACCAGATAGTCGAGTATACCCCTAAGCCATGCTTCAAACCTTTCGGTGACGCTGTATCGGATGATCGTCGTGCTGGTGATGCAGGCCCCTCCAAAGCCATCATCGCGGACACGATGAAATTGGTCGGGAATAGGTGAGTTTTAAAATCACGCTGTCTTGACGTATTCAAGAAATACTCATTTTTTTGTATTTCTATACAGCTCATACGGGAAGACCATCACCAACAAAGAGCGTCATCGCAAGGTGGATTACTGCTACGATGACGAGGTCTCTGAATTAATCAACTCACCATTCTACCGCCAAATGAACGTGATCGACGATGACACCTATGAAGTGGAAAGTGCTAAGAAGAAAATAAAGTTGGACTTACCACTACAGGTATGTATTGCATGATCATTTTGTCATTAGAAATATAAATTAATAAATTATTCTTATTTTACAGGTGGGGTTCTTCGTGTACCAGTATGCGAAACTCCGAATGTTACAGTTTTACTACGACTGTTTAGATACATACCTTGACCGTTCCGATTATGAGTATTGCGAGATTGACTTTATTATTGACTTTATTAAAAACGGTACTATTTCACCAAGATATTTATAAAAATTAAGACAGGTGATCTTCCAATAGGCCGTATATAACTATACTAATTACACATATACTACAGTATCTAATAACAATAACTAAATTACACGCAAATTACACACTTACAGTTAGACTATTTTTAAATGTAGAGATAGGCATGTAGTAAAACACTGACTACCGGAACACCGGAACACCACCGGAACACCGGAACACCACCATTTTGTTTGGGGTTAGGGTTTGGGGTTAGGGTTAGGGTTGGGGGTTAGGGTTGGGGTTAGGGGTTAGGGTTGAGGTTAGGGTTAGGTGGTGTTCCGGTGGTGTTTCGGCGGTGTTCCGGTGGTGTTCCGGTGTTCCGGTAGTCAGTGTTTTACTACATGCCGTAGAGATACTTGTTTTAGCTTTTATGTCAGCAGACAGATTATTCCAAGTCTCAGCTCCTCGATAGGCGAAAGACTTTTTCATAAAATTAGTTTTAGGTTTAGGTAATGCAAAATTGAATTCGCTTTGTCTTGTATTGTAATTATGTATTTCATTTGAGGTGATGAAAAGTTCCGTTAAGCAATTTGGTAACATGTTATGTTTGGCTTTGAACATTAGGACGGCTAAATGATGTTTTCTTCTAGTCACGAGATTTGGAAAACCGACCTTGTTCAAAACATCGATTGTACGTGTATCATAGTTTTCACGAGTTATTATTCGAAATGCTCTATTTTGAAGCTTCTGGAGTTTATCAGATAGTACTTTACCCAAACAACCCCAAATCTGTGAGCAATAGTCGAAATGTGGTTGAATTATTGATAAATAAATTTTGATCAGTGTTTGGTAATCTAGAATGTCTCTCAATCTTTTAAGGATACTGAGACCTGAATTAACCTTTTTTGTAATTTGATCAACTTGAGCATTCCATGAGAGTGTTTCGTCAATCATTAAGCCGAGTGATTTGGTCGTTTTGACTCTATTAATTTCTCTGTCTTTTATGAATATATTAGGCGTTATGTTAATATGATTGACATCCGGTGTACCGCAGGCCTGGTTTAAGAGAGGCGTTTGAGAACGATAAATGTAACTGGTTTCCTCGTTCCGATACAACTGAACATGCGAAATACGACAGGAGAAAACCGGGATTGTTTAAAGTGGAGTGGGAAGGGGATGGAATTGTATCTTTATGTAGTAAGACGTA